GATTCTATAAAATTCTAGTGTTATTCAATAAGACATTTTATATTTTTTTTATTTCTTTATCTGAAACATAACTAGATAAAGAAGAAGAAAACATTATTGAGCAGAATAGCGCATCGAATAACAATATTCTTTGGCCTAATTCAGAATATTTATTTGAAATTCGGGTCGATTTCCACATATAGCAGAATCTTGATTAGTACGTACTTTATTAATTCAACAAATAATTATATCCGGTCTAGCTACGATCTAATTAGCATCTAAACCTTCTTTCTTGTACGTTATCCAATAATGTTCAAGACTATTAGTCATTTTTACATTTCAATATTCGAATTAAAGACGCGACTCGTACGTGTAGCTCTATATTTTCTGTTAAGTAAAATAATCCATGCTTTTGTATTGAACGATTTGTACACTCGTTCAATGAAATCAATAATTTTTTTGGTTAACTTCCAAGTCCAATTACTTTACTTTTTAGCTTAACCATTTGTAAAAGAAAAGAATCTTTGCCTTTTTTTTCTTCTTCTTCCACTCATTAAAATGTTCTCTCTATATATACAAGATAAATCTAGTCTTCTAATTCTCTATACCACACATCTAAAAAGACAATTTGATCTTCAAGATCATAGCTCTCATGGCTTCTTGTGACTCTCCTGATGCATTCTCTTGGCTTCAAACTCTTCCTCCTCTCTCGCAATGGAAAAGAAATTCAATGTCCATGTGCATTTGCTCTCCAAATTCATCACATCCATCTTTAAACTTCTTTCTTACTCGTATAACTTCTCAATCTCCAAACATATTCACCTTCTCTATAGTAGCCGATTTCAAGATTCCTATATCTCTCTTTGTTTCAAAACCTATAAGAATCATTGGTTCTAATTCAAACAAGTTCCTTAATGAAAATGTCATCTCTTCTCTATTGATGGGCTTTGTAGACATAGTTCTCAACTATAACGTTAAGAGAACTGTTTGCTCAATCCAAATCCAAAACCTTGGTTCGACTTCTAACCTCAAAGACGTTTTCAACCTCGCGTTCTTCACTTTCGTGTTCCTCATATGCATCTACGAAGCGCCTACGAGCCTACGAACAACTTGTCTCAAAACAGTGAAAGATCAGCTTGTTACTTGTAGGTCAAGGCAGGGTTCTAAGTTACTCATGGTGCAACTAGGCTCTAACCTTGAAGAACAATGGATGAGATCGCTGAATCTTGCGATAACCAATTGGATCATCGAGATCAAAGCGTTTCAGCATCTCAAGTCGCCTTCTCCTTTGTTTTCGTATGCTTTCTCGACTCAAGGTTTGTGGAAAGTTCATATGTATTGTCCTGTGGTAGCAATGGAAATGGAGAACGTAAATAGTGCTTTAACCGATGAGAGATTGTTCTTCTCGCTCAACTATCATCAGCTTGAAGGTGTGATCCAATTCAACCACAAGATTTACGTTCGTGAGAAGTGGTTTAGCATCGCAGTGAATATTGACAACGTCAGGTATTTAACTCTAACTCATATATACTCTTAGCTGAAACGAAGATAGATATTTAATATTGGCATATATATAAATAAGAGAAAATAGAAAATTTGTGTGTAAACATAAACTTTTAAAATTTTACGATCAAATCATTTGTGTTCTACATAATTTCATTTATTAACACCAAAATATTCACACAAACAGATAAAATCCAACATTGTATATGTAAAATTGTGTGTAATCAAAGGCTTCTTATGATATAAGTAGTTTCTATACATAATTTGTTCATATTTTCTCTAAATAATTTTCTTAGGTGCGACATAATAAGGCTTGTGAACGAGACACTTCTATCAGAACGCGGCATGGGAACAGAGGAAAAACATTTTCCATCACGAATATCATTGCAGCTAACTCCAACGAATCAATCAAACATCTTAATGGTATCCGTACAAAAATCCTCAGAGAACCCATTGAGAGAATTCGAACTAGAGAAAGGCATAGAAGCAACAATAGAGCCACCAAACACGTTCTTTGGACTTAAAGTCTCAGCCAACGAAACCACAACAAAGAGCATGAAGCCATGGAAATTCGAGGAATGGGTTCATGGTTATAGCGCGAATCTCACTTGGTTTCTCCATGACCTTGATGATGGAAGAGAAGTTTCATCCTCTAAACCATCAAAGGTCTCGGTGATGAACCCTCGAGCTTGGTTCAAGAACCGGTACTCGAGCGCGTTTAGACCGTTCACTAAGCAAGGAGGAGTTGTATTTGCAGGAGATAGTTATGGGCAAAGCGTTTTATGGAAAGTTGATAAAACAGCTATGGGGAAAGTGATGGAGTTTGAGGTTAAAGGTTGCGTTTGGTTGACTTATTGGCCTAATAAGCATCATACTTTTTATAGTGATACTAGAAAGTTGGAATTTAAGGAGATGCTTTACCTTAATCTTCCTTAGAACTTGTGTGTTTTTTTAATTATCATAAACATAATAATA